TTAAAAAACTATTTAGACTCTGTGTGAAGGGGTCATTTTGCTTTTAAATGAGCAACACAGGCTAGCAGGGAATTAGTTGCACCACTGAAACAACTTTTATTGTAGTCTCAGCAGCCCTGTAATACATGCTCCGTGCAAAAATACATGAAAGACATTGCGTCCATGAGTTAATTGCCAAATTACTGCCAATAATTTAATTGCCAGTACACTCTAACATGTCAGCCTAAGTCAGTCTTGGAAAGGTACATACAGAATTTCCACATCAGGCTACCATTTCTTATGTCTTCCCATTAAGAACCTCATTTTGGTGTTTGATCCCAGCCAGATTTTCTCTGTCACCTCTTAAGGAAACAATCTGAGGTTTCACCCGCAGGCCAAAGTTACAAGCATCTGGAAGTGATTGAATGACAATGTTCATTCTGCCTGAAAAACACCTTTGCTAAGTGAAGCCTTGATCTGCAATAGAAACATATAAGTATAAAGGGACAACAACAGGGCCTGTGCCATCACCCCTTTTTCCCTGGAGGTTAGAAATCCCCATTTCTCCGTCCTTCGGTTTTTCAAGTTTTTCGTCTCCACTGGAACTGCAGCTACTTTAACACAATCATGCACCTAAACTCCCCCCCTTTCAAAAGCATTACGTTATATGAAATAATAACTCCAAACACATCTTTTTTTACAGCAGTAAGGTGCCCTGAGCTGCTGGGGCACTATTGCAAGGAACTATAATGTTCCTCTTGTTCAGAGAGAGGCAGGGGAGGGAAAGGAGCTGCTCCAAGTGACAGCAGCAGAAAGTTAAGAGATGGCAGCACAGAACTTCCAAACCAGCAAAAAAACCCTGCAAAACCAGCAAAACAAGAAAGTCAGTTCCTCTCCTATTGTGGTTTCCTCAGCCTGCCTATTACCTCTGAATAACAGAGATCCTATTCATTATGCTGGAGCAAAACAGTCTTTGCACTAAGTGGTCCTTGCAGTAACGTAGAGCAGTGCATCATTTTGTGGCTTAGAAAACCGGTTCATTTACTTGTAAGATGCTTGTAGATTCATGAACCCTCATCAGGAATTATCCTGAAATTGCAGCGTGTTTTCCAGGGTCATCATGTTACATGAAATGTTCAGCCTTGCCTGAGGCAGGATAATATGTAAGAAACACAGATATCCCTCAAAGCAAAGCAATAAAACGAGGTTTTTTGTTTGCTGCCATGATTCTTGATGTCGTTGGCTTTTACTTTCTTAATCCCTCATTTTATTTCTAAGGATATTTTGAAAGGAGTTTGAACACTTTCCAGAGGCCATTTCTTGCTCTTATTTTTAAGTCGTTTGTTACATTTAAGATTCAATTCCACTAAAACATAAGCATTATTTTTGAACTTTCGGAATAATGTCCCAGTGACACACATGGAGATTCGTTTGGGGCCAGTTAATGGCTACATCTAGGAGTCCACAGAAGTATTTCAGTGCTGAGCCACACGACATTCACTGTCTGCCTCAGGCTTTCCAGAAACCTAAAGTTTTCAGAAAGAACCTCCTACCCAGCAACTTTCCCAGGCGCAAAGAGCAGATCAGACCTTCGTGGGTGCTGCTCTGCTGCAGAATTTTCTACTTCAGCACTGCAGTGCCAAAATCATAAACTTTGCTTTCACTTCCTGCCATTTGCTCAATAATATATGTAATTTAAGGTTACATTATCATAATTGTTTTTAAAGTTAAACAGATTTTCCAGGGGGCTTAAAGTTGTGATCTAAGAGTTGGAAATTCCAGCTGAGGCAGACTAGCATAATCCTGGGTTTGTTACCAGCGTAAAATTTTGTCCTCTTCTAAGCGAGTCTCTGAGCACTCATATGTGAACCAGGGCCTGGCATAAACAATGAGAAAATATTAAAATTCAGCCTGCGATTGTAACAGATCGTGGGGGAATTTACAAGGCTCAAAACCACAGTTATAAACCAGCCTCCTCTTCTAGTCCTAAAAATCTGCGTAGCCACTTCAAAAAGAGCTCTTCTCACAGTAGCTCAGCACCTCTGAACTTTGTACACACCTCAAATAAGTGATGCAAAAAACCCCAGACAACAGAAAATGGCTTAACTGTGCAGGTTCTATTCAATAATTTCAATTGATTACACAAAACATTTCTGCAGAGCATCCTCACATTTCAAACCAAAGGAATCCAAATGCAACCCATTGCTGAATATGTGCTCTGACAACAATTTAGTTTGCAATGAAATCAAGAATGTCACGTACCCACATAACAGAGTCATAAATGTTTTTACTGCCCAGTCAGTTTAAATCTGCAAGATGCACAGGCACATACACACATACAAGCACCAATCCTCAGGAAACAGCTCAGAGCTTTAGTTTGTTTTCATTTGGAGACAAGGATCAGGTAAAAAAACCTGTTTTCAGTCTGAAGCATGACGTACTTCCCAAATTGGCTGGTTTTACCCCTCATCTTCCAAATTTGGCCCACAGCAATCACGTCGATACAACTCGTCTCTTACACATCTCTGGTAAAAACACCCTGCCAGTTTTTGTGAGCCCAAGACTAATTAGTCTATTTTTGTGTGCAAGACCAGTGATGGGATCTTGTTTTTCAGGTATTACACACATTCTGATCTCGTTTTACCAAATCTTTTTTAGCTGATACCCTGCACACTAATGATCCCTTCCAGGGCAGCAGCACATGCTGCTAGTCTCTACCTGGGCCCTTCTCTTTCCTAAGAGTGGCACACACTGTGATAATCTCTCCCCTGTACAACCCCATAACCCAAAGCATTTTTGCTGCTTTTTAGCTCTTTCTCAGTAACAGCTACTTCAAATTCTTGTCCATAAAACATATCTTTGGCTCTATACACTTATACCAGACATAAAGCATTACAGTCGTGACCTTAGGCCACGTTTATGCCACAGTGGGTCTGGTTCAGGTCTGTAACAAACCCACCTTTCTGGGCTGACAAACCTGCCCCTACACACAGAGAGGTGAGCACAAAGCACTGGATGTCAAATCCAGCAAGAACAGAACTGAGGCTATGACAGATGCAACCAAACTCAGAAATCTTCCCATAAATGTTCTTCCCACAGAAGAATGAAATGTTCTGCTACTCCTCTACCACCAGGGAACACGTGAAGCACGAGCAAACTGAAACTGGCCCTCTAAAACCAGCGACAGAGTTGCTGCTGGCCATGGCCTCCCGTAATAAGGTTTTGTATGGATGGTCTCAGAGAGTCTGGTTGTCACCCCCGTAGAACTTAAGAAAATAAAATTCTGGCAGTGGGAAATGTATCTCAAGGAGATAGTATTAGAAAATGAGCGGGAATACCTGGGAGCTATAGTCAATTCGTACTTGCCGAAGATCCGAAACAGACCCCAAATCTTTATTACATACGACTGTTTTATTTCACTTCATCTCCACAACCTGCTATATAAAAATATGCTTATGGTGTGCAAGGCACTGTATGCTCCAAAACATCTCCTTCCTTTTCCCAAACTGTATAGACATACCTTTTTTTGTCTCTCTATTTACATTTTATTTCTGAGTAAGCAGATGTGCTCAGACAGTATCCATCTGAGCAGAAAATTACCTAAACCTTTCCAAAAAAGATTTCTAAATTTTGTCATGTGAAACTCAATCTATTTAAAGCCTTTGCTTTAAGACTGGTATTCCTCCTCTGCAGATCTGGATTTCTTTGTGTCATAATTTCACTGTGGAGCAGAGTATTTTACCAGCAATACCTGACTGGTGTGAAAGCAGATAGATGAACTGGAATATATTCAGGAAGAGAAAGCAGATTTTCTCTTCTCACATCTGTACTTCATTTAGGGCATTTTTTTTCTCTCTTATCCTTTTCCTACGATCAACAAACACTGTGAAGATTATGTGCTTAACATCTTATGCATGATCTGATCTTGAGTCGATATGCTGGAAGCAGTAGTGGATCTATTGCTCTCCCCAAACTTCCATTTAGCTTAATTTCCTGGAATCACACATTTGGGAGCAGAGATCATGGCCAAACACTTGGAAACATCCAGCATACCATGAGAGAAAATTATTAGTTCAAGAATTACATTTTTAAAAAGTGCTGGATGCACATTTTTGCCCAATATTTTTTGCTGTATCTGCTTCAGGGAGCAGTTCTGGGAACACCTTTCCTCGGGAGCTGCAGAGCCACAGTTCCACCACAGGCTTTGCAAAACTGCAGCAGCTGCAGTGCACCACTGACAAGAGTGTCACACACGTGCAGCAGGAAAGAAACAGGAGCCCAACCCTCCTGCTCCTCCTTTAGGCTCCTGTCCCTCCGGGTTCTGCTTGCATGGAGCTGCTGGAGCAGCATCAGTGGGGTCTGACAGTGCCAATGCCTGCTTGGCATCTCCCACCCCATCTCCCAAGCTGGGGTTCAAAACCAGGTGTTCCAGCAGCCCTGCAACATTAATTAGCATTTAGGGGAGCCAGCAGGTTCTCTGCAGCTACAGGCTGTTTTCCACAGGAATATATACGTGGGTTGTAAAGTGGCTTGTTGGTCTGATGAGAGCCCTGGAGTTCAGCTCTCTTAAGTATTTAATTACTCTCAATGGTTTTATGACCTGGAGCAGGCTTGTGGCTAGCTAGAGTGGTGTGGGAGACCCTGGAAAACCATGGGATACTCCATTAAAATGGAAGCAGTCCTTCCCACGTTTTTAAAATAAGTACATCTAACAAAGCTTTTCAGGCCAAAGCTTTTTCATACCTATCCAAAACTGCAAACACACCCACACTCAGTGGATGTTCACAAGGGGGCTTTATCAGGACAAACCTGAAGTAAATAATCTTTTGTTAGATTAGTAGCCACACAGTAGCAGCAAAAAAGCATCAAATGCTCTTAATCATTTCCCATAGCCATTAACACATATATTACACACATACACATATATATACATGCATAAACACCTATGCATACAGATTTCACTTTACTGTTGCCTAAACTCTTACTTAAATCTAGGAATTAACTTCACTGACAGTTTCTCGGGAACTTTAGGAATTTTATTCCCCAATTCTTCTCTACAGGGACACTTTGCAAAGCCTAAAAAAAAGCAAAGAAACAAAAGAGAGGGTCTTGGCCAGGCAGGCAACTCCCTTTGCCAGACTGCAGCCGTTCTGCTTAACCATTTCCCTTCATCCATCAGGATTGTCCTTTTCTTTCTTTAGGATCATTGCAACAGAAACTATTTCAAGTACACCCACTCGAGTGGTTTGTGAAGTCCCCATGGATGTCTGTGAAGGTGGTGATGCTGAAGGCAAATAGGTTTGTTTTTTTCCTCATTGAACTGGGCTGGAATTGCTCAAAGAGTCACTTAATCTGTCTTAACCTGTAAAACGAATGGAAGCAGAATGGAAGAGGAGTGAGCAGAGGAAAGGGAAAAAAGAAGAGAGGCCACTTTTTGGTTTTTTGTATCTAATCTTTGGACCAGGCAATCAGGGTGAACACAGGACTGCACTTCCTCTTGGAGAGCTCTGCTTTGACACTGGACATGCAGAAGCATAAAGCAGACTTCATTTTACAAACATAACTTCTTATTTGGGGGGGTTGTTTGAGAGGTTTTTTCCCCCCTCAGATTCTTTCCAAGAATGCTGTACGCACATGAACTGACTTTTCAATCACTTTTTTGTGCTCTCCTCATTGAGGAAAAGGCTTGTGGAAAAGGCTGCTGACAACTGTTATATTGTTGAGCCAAACCTATCTATGCCAAGTTAGATTTGTTCATTTCTTCTCTCCCTCCTCATTCTCCCAATATTTTCCTCTCTCAGACTTTTAATAAGGCAGTAAGGCAGAAAAGCAGTGATGCAAACAGAGTCTCAGTGTGACCATATGCACATCACCCCCAATTGCTGGATCCTGTAGCGCAGCAGTTAATTCTGTGTGTCATATTTTATGTCACACTTATTAGCCTGAAGTGCAGTAATGCACGTTTCCATTCACAAGAGAACCTCTCCTGAATAACAAGGCCATGAATGGGTACTAATAAAAGTATATTCCATGTGTCAGAGACCATGCTAATTAGCAGACTTGAAAATCTCTGTCAAACACTATAAAATGTTACAGTGTTTGTATAAATGTTTAATAATGAAAATGATAACAAACTGAGCAGGGATGGCTTGGGGAAAACAGTTATTTGAGCAGTTTTCTGAGGGTGAGGGATGAAGCAGCCTGTGGTTTTGGAAAAAGAAGCTTTTAAGCAAAGGTTTTACCTGGCTGACACATTCGACTAAAGGCTTGTCCCAGTCTGCAGCCCAGCATGGCCAATAGAAAAACCCCTTTCCCAGCATGGCAGAAGGATCAGCAGCCACTCTGATGCAGCTGGGGGGTTGGCCCCTCTTTCCATTCTTCCCTGGACAACTGAAGCAAGGTGTTCATTCCTCTTCCCTGAAGCTGTGAGCTGCCAGCTTTAGGATACCTCGGTGGGATTCAGCCACAGGACAACAATCTGCATCTTGCACACTGGAAGATTCAAAGCTATGGCTTGGAGCTAGGAAAAATTCAGTCACTCCCTGTGCCAAAGAGTCCTCCCTCATGTGCAGACCCAGGAAAGAGCAAGTTCCCAAAAGTGCCTTTTCAGCCTCAGTGCTCCTGAAGGACATAGGACACATCCCATCTCCCCAGGCACTGCTCTGAAACAAGGTCAGCAACTAGGAGAATTAAAAGGAACAGGTTAAATGCCTATTTTGATGAATGAAAACAGGAATGAATGCAAATATTTTGACAAATTAAATCTGAGTGGATTTCATTCCAAACAAACTAACTTCAGTGCTCACAAATGAGGCTAAATCAATGATAAGGTGACAGGAACCTCTTGCTCCCCAACTCCAAAGACACTTTTCAAGAACACAAGATTACTTCATCTTTTTCAAGTGGCACATCTGGGATGACCTCAGTAGCAGAGCTCCACTCACTGCAGCTCTGCTGAGCATCAGGTAGAAGTAATCTTGCCCCAGGCAGGGCTTTTTCATTATTGAACAATTTTTAGACTATAATATTTAACATTTAAAACTTATTTAGAGAAACTCCAAAGTCAAAAAAATAGTTTTGTAATAAACCAAAGGCAATTACTTAGTTCTGATGTATAATTACATTCTTATTATCACATACAATAAATTCATAGCTCTCTGGGCTAAGGGAAGGTATGAGTTCTAAAGATAAATGAAAGACATCAGGCTTCTTTTTTTCTTGTTCCATTTCCACTTGTAAAGACCAAAATAATGCTACAACCATGAGCCTGGCAGAAAGCAAAGCATTGTTTTGATACCAAAAGGCTCCCTGACTACCAGCAGGCTGTGCCAGTGTTCCTCCCCTCCAGAGGTGAAGAGCTGCCCCAGCAGTGAGTTTTACCCTGGCTATTCCATACCTACAAACCTCTTTTTAGAGCCAAATCCCTTCCTCACAGGTCACTTTAGAGAAGCTGTCCCATGAATCAGGGGTATTCTTGTTAACATTTAGAGGCAGACCCTTGCTCCCCACCCTGGGTACAGGAGAGGGGCATTAAACACTAGCACAGCTTCCAGAAAAATAGACTATGCTCCTATAGGCTGCCTTTTTTAAACACTGACAGTGTGCCTCAGATACAAAATACAGCTGGATCTGTCCTCAGGAAAGAGAGCAGAGATCCTGCCCCATCACCTCCCAGCCCAGGGAACAGATCCCAGCACTGGGAACAGCACAGGGGCTTGGAAAGCAGTAAGGAAATGAGTAACAGCAGCAAAGACCCACTGCATCCCAAACCCTGCTCATCACCAAGATCTGTGATAAGGAAGAGAGCAAGCTCCATCCTTTCCCTGTGGCTCAGAAATCCGAATTTCTTGAGAGATGTGAGAAAATTAAGCTGGAGAAGTAGGAATCCCTTTTAATCCCTTTTCCTTTGTTTTTCCAAAGCCAAATCCTGCCCAGGTTTTACTGAACCCTGGTATAAGGCTCACGAACCACAACCCATGCGGGAGGTGATGGGACCTGTTCACACCCTCGTCTTCTGTCATAAACAGAAATAAATATATAAAAGCAAGTATTTAAAGGACAGACTCCAGAGACTCCCCCAGGGCTGGAAACTCACATTCAGCTCTCCTGGAGTGCATGCACACGGGGCTGCTGGGACCAGCTGAATCTCAGGACTGCTGATGGATTGTATCTATGTTTTCCTGCAAAGCAGGCTGCACTTGGAAAATGGAAATCTGAGGCTTGACCATCTTGCTGAAGTCAGCAAAGTGAGCTCTGGCCCAGAACTGACAGGAAATGGGGTATTAGCTGGTGGAAAATAAATGAAAGGAATGTCCTTCAGCTTGGACCCTTTCACCAGAACTGTAGGTTGTTTCTCTTTGGTCCTTAGGTGAGCTCTAAGCCTCCTGCTTGTGGCTTCTTATCGAGGCTCAGCATCTCTGAGCTGCTGCAAAGCCAAAGGGCCCTGAATGTTGGTATTTTTCCTTGCAATGCACCACCATGTCCATGGCTCTGGCTCAATAGCTGATTCCAGCTAATTTGCATCTTTTGTTCAAACACTTACTGTGACTAATTTTGGGAACGTTTTATTTTTGTCTCTTCCAACATAAAGTCATCAAATAAAAATAAACAAATATTGCCACACAGCTAGAATATTTTCCCTTCATCATGTAGTTGCTTCTTTGGCCCATTATAATGTAAGTTCTATTAATTCCATATAATTTTTTTCCCCTCTATTTTGCTGGATTTATTTCACAGTACCTTGAGAAAGATACTAACATAATGATTTTCATCCTTCACTGCCTACCTCAAGCACAAAATTGCTGCATATAGATTTCTCAGCACTTCAAAAGACTGTGTTCTCTTCCTAACTCCTGGTCCACCACCAAAGGTCCACATCTTCCTTTATTTTTATCAGTGACAACGGTTTATTATTTCTGCTACCTCTGATCCCACTGTACAGAGACCAGAAAGGACACACGGGTTCTGGCAATAAAAGGGACTCTTTAAGTGATCCCATAGCATAATAATACACTGGTTTGTTTAGTACAATCTTTTTAAAGCCAGACCTAAACTTTAACTCATAACTCATCTGTCAACCTCTTTAAAACGTCCCAAGGATAAAGAGAACAGCTTTGGCTTAGAGTAGAATAGGTTTCAGGAGTCTGGATCTGTAAATCTGAAGGAGGAAAACAGAAGGAAAGAAAAGTATCCAAACCCTGTATTGCATGGGGATGTATAAAATTTGAAGCATACAATTAATAATCCTTTTCAAAGACATACCAAGATACACTTAATGACCATTTTTAAAGTACTCTGAAATATTCAGAATGCAAATGAACTTGAATGCAAGACAGCAAATGAAGCACAGCAAACTGCTCCTAAAGTCCAACCACGCATCCTGATGACAGGAACAAAAGAGTCTGAGCCATAAGAACACCGAGGAGATTATTACAAAAAAACAAAGATGGATAACTCTTTAGTCCAGACATTATAACTTACACTGTCCAGATGTATTAGATCATGAAACCTCTTAAGAGAGTCTATTTTTACTTTGCTTCTCGCTCCTTTCCCCCACATCTTAAGAACATGCCAACAAACATAGCTGTGTATTCTGTTGTCAGATCTGCCCTATTAGCAATTAAATCAGCTTACACACCCTTCATGAGGGAAATCACTTGCAGGGGTGCAAGTGTGTGCTGGCAGCAAGAAGCAGCAGAGCTGAAAGTACAGTTGGATCCTTGTCACCTCCACGTATTCACTGAATGTGACAGAGAGAAAACTGCCAGCTCTGGACTGGTCCCAAAGGAGAACAGGGCCTCCTGGTGGTACCACAGCACAAATAATTGAGACAACAATACCAAAGGCCACTGGTTTTTTTCTCCCTCCCAAAAGGCCAAGACCTGCTGCATGATGGGCTCAGTCTGTTGCCTTTTCTGTTAAAGGAACAGCCTGGCTGGGCACTGGAATAACCTTGGGGTCCTCTTGCTTTCCCACACCCCATCAGGATATTTTTTAGGTTTTCCTGTTACTCCTACAGCCCCTGTTGTGCTGTGGGACAATGGAACTTTGAGGGAGCAGCACAGTCTTGGGTGAGGCTGGGGACTCCACGCGGTGCAGCCTCAGGCTCACAACATCGTTCTGGGACAAGGGCAGGACAAGAAACGACATAGACACAAAACTGCTTCTAAAAACTGCTCCCTTTCTCCCCCTAAGGGGAAGAAGTGCCTTGTGTTGACAACAGGCCCGAAGCTTTCATCATGGAGAAGCACTAAATAAGAGGTTTTCTAACACCAAGCTGTTTGCAGAAGTGAGCACAAGCCACAGAGCTGGAAGCCAAAATGTGAAACCCAGATGTCTCCTGAGTCTGAGAGTGCCTGAACCTCAGTGTTTGCTCACTCCTGTGTCTATTTAAATGTTACAACAGCAGCTTCCTTCTGCATCTCCCCTTTCTTTTGCTGTGAGCTGCAAACAGAATAGGCTGGAAAAATGTTCATGGAGGCTCAGGGTAAAACCCAACAAGATGTCTGAGTAATCCAAAGCTGTCATAAGAGAAGATTCCTACCTTGTTTATAGAGCAGGTGTGTTGTGACTACAAAAGGCCATACCCTTCTAAAAAGTGGCTGTAATTAGCTCAAAAGCTGACAAGTACCAGAGATAAGTGTGAAAAGAAAGCATTTTTTTACTGAGAAAGGCAAGAGTCATAACACATACTGTGCAGGTAGTTGGGTCCTTGGCCAGAACTCAGCCCATGAAATCCACTTACTGCCAATCTCAATTGTGTTGCTGCCCCTCAAGAAGTGCCAGCTGGAAGCTGAGACAGAGTTTTGCTGATAACATCATCTGGTTGCTACCGAACTCCAGTTGCTGTTCTATATATTTACTCACTTAATTCAAGGTTAAACCAGCTAATTCCAGGACAAAAAACCAAAAAAGCAACAACTCTGCACCAATTGCTTGCCACATGTGAGACTGACAGAAGCTAATTGCATGGATGGAAACAATCAGTCTTAATTTGAACACCACACTAGTAGGTGACAGCCACAGCTGTTCTGGGCAAGACAGACTGTACAACACATATAATGCAGCCCAGTGCAGGGAGAGAGACCTGAATGGGAACACCAAAGAATCTGTTTTCTTCTCCTTTCCCTTCTTGAGGATGGGAGATCTTCAGCGAAAACTCAGATCTGCACCTGGGCTCTAGATCAGGTTTAGTGAGATGCAGACTGATTTTTTTAAATCTTATTTTAAGTGTGCAAAGGGCAGGTAGAATGTCACAAGATCAGTTTGCCTCAGTACTTTTTTTTCCAATTTTAGCTGACCACGTGAGTCCAAGTATATGAAGGTTCAGCAATATCAAAACTTAAACCTAGCTGCACATTGCAACTGAATTTAACATTATCTCCCAGTCTGAACTCACTGTCCAAGACCCTATCCTTGAAAGCTTTGCTTTTTTTCTGAAGGCTACTCCTATCCACTTAACTTGGGGAAACGGGAAAAAAATCTAAACTTTTCATGTCTGTCAATGAGTTGATTTCAATCTAGTTTTTACTGTGGAAAATCTGGAGTAACTGCATTTAAATCAAAGGAGGAGTATCAGGACAAGCAGCAAAAAGGATCTATCAGATAGAAGACAAATTCAAGTTCCCTTAATTCAATGTCATATTTATTTTTTCTTTTAAGAAAAACTCTGGCTATTGAAACTTCATTAATTTCTTACTTCATTACTTAGATATAGGGATCGGAAGAAACCCTCAAGTGTCTTAATGTGGCATTACTGATGCACACAGAAACACCAATTCTGATCTCTTT